GGGGGGGGCGCACTTGGTTCTTTCCGGCCACTTCACTTAGGGCCGCTAACTTCACTGCCAGGTGTAGTCCAGGTAGCAGACTAGCAGACGGGGCGGACACCGCCCGCTGACCTGTCGGTGGGCTTGCTTTTAGAGAGATCTTCCAGCTGTAACGCTTTTGATGTCTAGTCTTTTGAGTGAAGACCGGACCTCCATGTTCAATCGCAACCAAGAACCAGGGCTCCTAGGTGGGCGCAGCGCCACGATACGCAGCAGCTTGTCAGAACCCTCGCGGCTCTCGCCCTGTAAGCCGCGTATGTCTCGCAGTTAAGGAGCTCCCTATCCTCAAACATTTTCCTAGTTGTGTCGCAGTATAGGGAGGTGGCGCCGGCGTCGGCCTAGCTCTGTCACCCACTGTGCCCCCCCCTTTTTCCTCTGTCCCCGCCACCGCAAAATCTTACTCCTGTCCACCCCCGGGACCCTGGAGGTGGACATCCAGGCCAGGCAGCTAGGCACCCTGCCCAACGACACTCTGCCTGGTGGCACCTAGGAAAGGCGTCGACACCCTGGCGGTAGATGTTTTGGGGAGATGGCGAGCTTGACAAATGGGTAAAGGTGGCTGGGGAGAGGGGGGGGGGAATGACCAGCACGTCCCACTCATATGTAGGTGTAGCACTTTGTGCGATACCTTTAATTTCGCTCAGCGGTTTTTCTTTGTATTAAACTCTATACGGCGTGTTAGGAAGGGTCTCCCGACCGGCGAGGACGGCGACGAGGCCACGCACGTCTACTTTGGCTGTGCATCCCATATCCGAGTGAAAAACATCCGCAAAGCGATAGCACATAGTGGTCACGGTACACTGATTGTATTAATTTTACTAGGACAAAGACATTTCGACCGATTTTACAATTTTAGTGATTTTAGTTTTGATCATGAGTGTATAGTCTTGACATTTCTTGATGTTTTAGTGATTGTTTTTGAGCAAGGGAAAACCAACAAAGCAAAGAACAATATCTTTATAGTTGAACATTGCTTAAAACAAAAATCAGTACTTAATATTTCTACCTTAGGCCAAACACAAAGAGCAGTGTCTCCATCGGACAGGAAAAAATATGGTCCAGGTAAAAAAGGGGTAAAACAGGAAAGGGATCTTTTTCACACATCCCGTTCGATTCAAACGTGAGTAACTTGTCTTTCAGTAAATAGAGGATCATTTGACAAATTAATACACAACTACAAATGCCGAGCTGCCAGCGTTACAAAAATGTCATTCCTACGGAAAATCTCGGAAAACTTGACGGAAAAATTTTGAAAGTTTATGACAGCCAGCAGCGTATCGTCCGGAGATCCGGTGGTGGTGGTCGGGAACTCGCGGTGCACAGCGTGCGGGCTGGTCCAGGGCGGGCCGGCGCGCGGGGCAGCGAGCCCCACGGGGAAAGGGGCCCCCGCCACCACCAGGCGCCCGCCGTCACACGTTGATCGTGTTGTCCATCTCGCGCTGCCTGTGCCGAAATGGTTCGTGCTAATCAGTGCTACATTTACCACTCGTCGAAAGTAAAACGCGTCTGACGTGACGAGCGTCATCCGCGACCTCTTGATGAGCGACGACAGCTCCCGCGCTCCTGCGCGTCGACCTGGCTCCAACACGGGTTGTCGCCGTCCTCGTGCACCTGACCGACGGCAGCGGGGTCCCCGTTGAGGTCGACGCCAGCTTTTGGACCCGAGCCGTCGAGGGTCCCCCAGCGCGGCTTGCTGAGGGACTGCTGGGCCGGTTGGAGGGGGTGCAAGTGGTGGTGGTGGTGGTAGAGGTGGTGGTGGGTGGGTTGTTTGCTTGAGGACCGCCTCGGCAGCGACCTGTCGACCCGACAAGCGGCCCTGTAGCGATACCGACCGGCGCGAGCGAGCAGCCTGCATGATTCCACCTCATGGCTTCATGGCCAACGACATGGGGAGCGTCTGCTGTCTGGAGATGTACGATATTTCTGTGATAAAGACACAATAATATGAGACTGGGTGATGCTGCTGTTATTGCGTGAGATGCGGCCACGAGTCTTTTGTGCTCGTACCGGGTGATTCAGAGAAGACGCAGGTGCGGGCGGGTTTGCCTACCCAAGGGGCTATGGCGCCTTACGGGCAGAGCGGGTAGGCAAACCCG